CCCCCCCCCCCCCCCCGTCCCTCTGTCTCCCTCGGGGCAGATTGCAGCCTATCCTCTCTGTCTGGGTGGCTCCCTGGCCTCCATAATTGAGGTTGCATAGCACCTGAAAGGGAAAAATCCAAAATTTGTTTTTTTAAATAGATTTTTAATTGATCTCAGAGCGGTCGGGAGAGGGAGAGATAGAAACATCATCAATGAAGAGAGAGAATCACGGATCGGCCGCCTCCTGCACGCCCCCTACTGGGGATCTAACCCGCAACCCGGGCCTGTGCCCTGACCTGGAATCGAACCCTGACCTCCCGGTTCATAGAGGTCGTCGCCGCCGGACAAAAAAAAAATAATGCAGATTTTAAACGGGTGGCGTTGTTTTCGGCCTCTCGCGTGCAGGGGTCTTTGTTCTCCGGGTGGGTTTTAGTGACGTGGGGTGTGACCGGGGGTGCGGGGTGATCTTTTCAAAGCGGTTATTCATGCGGGGAGGGGTCTCCCTCGCACCCTGCAGGCCTCCCTGGTTGGGGAGCCCTGGGAAAGGTGGTGGCAGACAGGCGGGCGTGCTCTGTGCCGATGGCTTGGCAGCCCCCTGGAGGGCAGTGTGCCCCAGCCTGCCTCCCCACGGGTGCGCTCACTGTACTGAGACCTTCTAAGTCGCACCGGGTCCTCGGGGACACCAGGGAGGTGCTTAGCTGCTCTCTGAGGCTTCGGGGCTCCTGCTAGTGTTTCAAAGGAGTTGAGACCTCTTGGCCTCAATTTTTCACTTCAGTAAAATGGGCATAAGAATAGTGCCTTTAAAAGTCCAGCAGTGTGGCTCAGTGGTTGAGCATTGACATATGAACCAGGAGGTCATGTGTTCATTCCTAATCTGGGTACATGCCCAGATTACAGACCCAATCCCCAGTGTGGGACATGCAGGAGGCAGCTGAGCAGTGATTCTCTCCCGTCATTGATGTTTCTATCTCTTGCTCCCTCTTTCTTCCTCTCTGCAATCAATAAAAATATATATTTTGGGGGGGAAGGGATTTGAGACTTCATCCTGGTCCTAATGGTGGAAGAGAAGGTGCAAGACGTGGAAGTAACGTCCAAGCGTCCGAGCAGTGGCCCGACAATGGCAGCCCGTCGCCGGTCTGCTTCTAAGACAAAGCGAACTGCAGGGGCGGCGTCCGGGAGCCTGCAGCCCGAGCACAGGGCGCTCGTAAAGATTATGTATAACCCGCTGAGCACGTGGAGAAGCGGGGCCTGCGTTTTAGGCGCCCGCCAGCGGGTCCCCCGGGTGACACTTGGCTTTCATCAAGGCGCGGGGTTTCCCGTGGGGCTGGGTGTCCGGGCCTGAGCGCCGGGAAGCTTCTGTGTCATTCTCTCTTTCCAGTTCTGCAGCCAGCGGACACGTGGGCTCAAGGGTAGGGGAGCCAGTGCCAGGCGCTGAGGGGCCGGGGGCATCGCTGCCAGCCCCCGACCCTGCCCAGCCCAGCCCTGCCCCACAGCCGGGGTCCCCTTGGTCTCCCGGGAGAGAAGGCAGCTTCTTGGCCTTGCAGGCTGCCTGCCCCCCTCTCCCCTGCCCAGGCCTCTAGGGAAGCTGCTTATGCAATTCCAGGGAAGCCCTCCATCCCCGCTGGAGGGAGAGGACAGGATTCCTTTAATACTTGTCGCCCAAGTAGCTCCAGGGCATTTCTCAGAAGCCACGGCCGTGTACAGGGAGGCTTGACAGGAGTGGGTCCGTGGGCTCATCTGTGTCCGTAAGACCATGGGGGCCGTCGCCACAGGAGAGCAGGATCCGGTCTCTGCTGGGGAGCTGTCTTTGGGTGTTTTGCGGGAAGGGGGCGGGGGGAAGATGGGGAGGGAGAGGGGAGAGAGAGCCCACAGGGGGGAGAGGGGGAGGAAACCTCGGTAGCTCAGCTGGACGTGGGTCCCGAGAAGGTGGTGTGATTTGGCCGAGGCCAGCCGCCCCTCCCTCCCCCTCCCCACACCTTGGCTGTGGAGTGAATCGCCAGGCAGCCGGGTCCCACAGGACGTGTGTCGATGACTGTTTGCTTGTTTACTTTTAAATATCAAATGATAAAATTCACATTCCTGACCATATTCCCGGCGAAAGGAACTATTTTTAGTGACATTTAGGAAATGTCACTAGTGTCACGTGTCGCATGTCACTTACCGAGTATGTGTTCCGAATTTTATCCGTTCCTCTTGACGGTGAACGGTTTGGTGTGGATCGAAATTCATGGCAATTTAAGAACATGTACGTATAAAAAAAAAATATGTACATATGTGTTTTATTGGTTTCGAGAGAGGAAGGGAGAGGGAGAGAGAGAGAGAAACATCCATGATGAGAGAGAATCATGGACCGGCTGCCTCCCACGCGCCCCCCCACTGGGGATCGGGCCGCAACCCGGGCCTGTGCCCTGACTAGGAATCGAACCGCGACCTCCTGGTTCATAGGCCGATGCTCAACCACTGAGCCACGCCGGCCGTGTGCAATTCGTAGTTTTTATTGGTGGCTTATTTTATCCTTCTAGACCAGCGGTTCTCAACCTCCTGGCCCTTTAAATGCAGTTCCTCATATGGTGACCCAACCGTAAAATTATTTTCGTGGCTACCTCATCACTGTCATGTTGCTACTGTGATGAATCGTCATGGAAATACCTGATATGCAGGATGGTCTTAGGCGGCCCCTGTGAAAGGGTCGTTCGCCCGCCAATGGGGTCGCGGCCCACAGGTTGAGAACCGCTGCCTAGACACTATGTCTTCGGGAAATAAGGCTGCAGCGCGAGATCAGGCTGGGAAGAGCTTGAACTCGGTCGTAGGCGCCCGGCGCCGTACACGCGTGGGTGGCCAAGCTCTCACACGCACGATGCCCCGAGTCCTGCTTCCTGACGAATCCAGAATTAGGGTACTTGTGTCTCCTTTCACTTTCTGACTTGGGAGATCATCTGGAGGCTGGGCGGAGGGCCCGGGGGCTTCTGTGGCTTTTTCCGTGGCCCTCGGGCAGCCCACGGGGAATAATACGCTCCCCGGGCCCTCGGGCCGACGCGTCCTCTCCCTTTGTGCCGTGACCCAGGTCCAGGAGGGCGGAGGAGGAGGAGCAGGAAGACACAGCGTCGAACCAGAAGTGGGTCTTGGCCCCCAAATCCCAGGACACGGACGTGACGTTCATTCTCAACAAGCTGCTGAGGGAGTACGACAAGAAGCTGCGGCCGGACATCGGCAGTGAGTACACGTGTGCGGTTTCCGCGGAAAACGGGCGCCGGTGGTGCGTGTGTCACGGGTTTTGATTTTAAAGCCTGTCTTTTACTGACGTCAGAGAGGAAGGGAGAGGGAGGGAGAGAGGAACATCATCCATGATGAGAGGGAGTCACGGATCGGCTGCCTCCTGCACGGGGGTCGTGCCTACCACCTGGGCCTGGGCCCTGACCGGGAATGGAACCCGGGACCACCTGGTTCCTGGGATGCCGCTCAGCCAATGAGCCGCGGCTGCGGGCGCC